TGATAGAAAATGATATACCTATCATAACTACTGTGGTGTCCATCATCTTTCAAGTATTCAGTGTGACAATAAGTTGTAAGCTGAGTCAATGAAAGCAAACCAATGAATAACACGGTCAATGAGCATGAGTAATAAGTTAAAATATGAGATAGCTATTAGAATACCTCAAAGTAAATCACTTTAGAAATCTTAACCATTCAGATTCATTGAAAAATTCAAAGGAAGATCTTCTAATCCAATTGGATTTCTAAAAATCATTGATCATTATGGGATTGTGGAGATTGTCGAATTTTTGATTGAGATCATAAATTGATCACTGTTAGGCTACTATTGAAAACATGGATATACTGGACGGTTGTTTCGTCCTAGTATTGTACTCCTCAGTAATGGGCAGTAACGATTCCGTACGCCGGGCAGTTAGTAATAATAAATCCATAAGATTGAATTTTTGTCGCCAGATGATATAATTTTACGATATGTAATAGTACTATGCAAATCTTCTATGAGGGGGAGGGGTAACAGGCGTAAGTAAGTAAGATTGTGGAGAATGTTAAATTTAATTGAAATGATAAATGGTTCCAAGTTAGATCACCATTTAAAACCTGGGAGAGTTGGACGGACATCTCATCCTAGTATATAACTCCTCTACAGTGTGCATCCACAACCTCACATCTAAAAATCTAAGTCAAGACCAAAGGCCTTAGGTGTGAACGTTTAACCTTTAGACAATTTAACCATGATCCAATGGCGTAATAGTTTAACTTCAATCAATCCACAATATCGCGCGATCATCTTCCACTCTATTCGATAGGTATCTTCCTCATGCCTTACATGATTGAACCACATTGATGGGATGAAATGGTCATCCAACAGTTCCAGGTTTTCAATAGTTATCTAACTTGGATAGATCTATGATTTCAATACAATATATACATATAAACTCGAAATGATCTTATGCGGACATTTAAACAGGTTAAGCATTCATACACGAGACTGAATGTCTTGAGTTCAAGTCCCGCGAGCATGATCATGGATGTACACTGCTACTGAGGAGTCCCACAATAGGACAAAACAGCCATCCAGTGCTTACAGGTTTTTCCATGATGATCTAACTTCAATTGACTCATGATCTCAACTGTTGAAATGTCTACAATCTCTACAAAACCCCTTCAAATAATCAAAGGTCATGGGGGGCATTAAATAATTATAAAGTGCAAACAATTGTTATTCACATGAATCAATCAAATTGTCAATGTTTCATGAATCATAAGAAGAAATGAATCTGAGAACTGATAACCAAAACAATGATAGATTCATTCATTCATTCATTCAACTGGTTACGCCTTCTAATTAACAACATCATTCAAGAACATAGTTCTATTCAATTGAACATATATTGAAATGAACTATTACGTAACATAGAAATGATGTAATGATACTTGAGAATTTTATTGAAACACTTTAATTACATCTTTTGAAGAGAAAGATTGTGATAGTTCATTATATATATGTAATTAAATAATCACTATAAAAGTACTTTTAAGGTATTTTGATTGAGATTATGAATTGAATGATAATAAGACAGTCGTTTCGTCCTATTATGAGACTCCTCAGTGGCAGTGTACATCCATGATCATGCTCGCAGGATTTGAACTCAAGACTTTCAGTCTCACGTATAAACGCTTAACTTGTAGATCATTAAGTCGTTCAATTCATAAGAGTAATAGTCAATGGAAGATGGAAATTAACACATTTTACACTGACTGACCTCAGAATTTTTACAACTGGAGAACATCTGGAACTCAAAACAACTATCTGTCAATCAACACCAAGGTCAGGATTTTTAATACAAATGTCGAGAAAGTTCTACTGTATGGGACGGAAACCTGGAGAACTACGAAAGCAATCATCCAGAAGATACAGGTATTTATTAACAGTTGTCTACGCAAAATACTTCGGATCCGTTGGCCGGACACTATTAGCAACAACCAACTGTGGGAACGAACAAACCAAATCCCAGCGGAGGAAGAAATTAAGAAGAAGCGATGGAAGTGGATAGGACACACATTGAGGAAAGCACTCAACTGCGTCACAAGACAAGCCCTCACATGGAATCGTCAAGGCTAAAGGAGACCAGGAAGATCAAAGAACACATTACTTTGAGAAATGGAGACAGACATGAGTAGAATGAACAAGAATTGAATAGAACTGGAAAGGAAGGCAGAAGGCAGAGTGGATTGGAGAATGCTGGCAGGTGGCCTATGCTCCATTAGGAGTAACAGGCGTAAGTAAGTAAGCAAGTAACCTCAGAATTACTTACTCAGTGGTTGTACTATATGCATCGAAGATGCTTATGAGGATATAGTTACTATCTGTTAACGTTTCGACATTTATGTGATACGTTACACAAAAGGCGTACTGAACAGTATGCTCGGCCACTGATAGATAGACAAGAATCTCAGCTACATCGAATATGATGTAAGTTTATAAAAGCCGATCAATTTTTTAGTACTTATTCTATAATTTCATCAACAAACTACTTATCGGGGAGATTGGAATATCTTAGTATATCTTAGTATAAGATGAATCCCTGAATGACCATACGAAGAAACTGGTATCTTCTAAAGGATGAAGCTCCTAAGTTAAAAATATGTGATAGTATTTCTGAGTATAGTAAGTACTAACTACCGGATAACTTATATTCATCCTATATATTCATCCTATAGAACAGCTCATTGATAACATAGCTGACTATAGCTCCAGACTTTACCGGTCTATATTTCACAACCAGCGTGAATTCCATCAAGACTTAAAGTACACCTAGTTTTTGAACAATGTTAACTATCAGGGTACCATTAAGTCAAACAGAACTCCTCGTCAATTATCGTCAACTATCAAACAAATATTATTTAATTTATCGCAAGTACATTCCAAGTGAGGACTGGAGTCGGACAAGGCTGTCTGCTCTTCCCCTTCCTCTTTCGTCTGGTGGTCGACTGGATTATGAAGACCTCCACATCTGAGGGACAGCACATAATAAAATGTATAGCTTGGAATCAATTAGAAGATTTCGACTTCGCAGATGATCTGGCCTTTCTACTCTATGCATACCAACAAATGCAGGTCAACACAAGCAGTGTAGCAGCAGTCTCTTCATTAGTGGGCCTCAACATACACAAAGGAAAAAGCAAGAACACCAACGCAATCATACTTGATGGAGGAGCTCTGAAAGAGGTTAAATCTTTCACGTACCGGATCAGCATCATCATCGATGAACAAGAAGGTCAGATGCAAGCGTAAAGGTGAGGATTGTCAAAGCAACGGTCGCATTCCTACAATTAAAGAATATATAGAACTCAAAACAACTGTCAACCAATATCAAAAGTTAGAATCTTCAATACAAACGTCAAGATAATCCTACTTTATAAAGCTGAAATGTGGAGAACCACTACAACCATGATCAAATGGTACAAGTATATATACACAATTGTCTACACAAAATACTCAATGTTTTTTAGCCGGATACCATTAGCAATAGCCTACTATGTGAGAGGACAAATGAATTGCCATCTGAAGAGTAAATTAGGAAAAGACTGTAGAAGTGAATAGAATATATACATTACAGAAATCATCAAACTGCATCACAAAGCAAGCGTTAACTTGAAATCTTAAAACGAAACTGAAAAGAGGAAGACTAAAGTACACATTGCACCGAGAATTACAAGTAGACATGAAAAGAATACATAGAAACTAGAAACACCTGAAAACGATTCCTCAGGGACAGAGCTCCATGTAAAATAATGGTGGGCAGCCTATACACCTCGACACGGGGTAACAGGAGTAAATCAATCTATCACATGACCAATTGTAATTATGAAAGTAAAAAACAAACAACCACAGGCTGTTTATGTCAACTATTTATCGAATTCAATTTAATTATTAATTATCATCACCGAGATATATTGAATTTTGTTTTTCCCCCAAAAAACTTCTGCCATTTATCTCCCTCTCTATTGATATACATGTCTATGATGATTGTCACCATCACCATCACCACCACCGTTATCATCACCATCATTGTTGTTGTTGTTGTCGTCGTTGTCGTTGTTAATCGTTTATTATAATTTTATAATTCGATTGTACCAAGTTGTCATATTCATTGTTTATTTGTTTGTTTTCTCTTTTATTTCATATTAAAACTAAATCATTACACTTTCTATCTTATTTTATTAGGGGAAAAGGGTCTCTATTCTCCCTTTTCATTATGTATACATATATATCCATCTATAGGTATATATTGTATAGACTACATTTACCTATTTATTTGTCTATTTATTGATAGTAAAACAACAACACCACCATTACCGCCACCACCTCCACCAGGAAAACAATTCTGTCATCTATTAGGATGGTATTATATTTTCCACAAAAAAAAACAAAACAACAACAACCAAAAAAAAATTGAAATTAAACCGACAACAATTTGATTAATTCATGTTTATACTAAAACTATAATCATTCTATTCAATATTCTATAAATGATGTTACTATATTATGGGGGGTAAGGGGTAGTGTGGGGTGATGATGGTGCTATGTATGTGTGTGTGTGGGGGGGGGGAAATATTCAATATTGAATTTGTTGAATGTACAATATATGACATCTTTGTTGTTGTTGTTATCTATCAACAGAATTTTATGCGAATTTATTTCGTGTATATTAACGAATATTAAAAAAATTTCATAGATAAAGAAAGGTTAAACGAGAAAAAAAAGGAGCATCAATGTATTCCCTAGAGAGAGGGAGAGTGTAAGTGAGTGTGGGTTCAGGTGAGGATGAGTGAGGGAGTGAGGGAGTGAGTAAAGTGATATAGATTGTATACCATGAAACTCAGTCAATTCCCTTGAATATGAATATAAAAAAAAACATACATCCTTGTTATTGTAATCATGAAATGAATAACTTCTATTGAATATATAAATAAGTCTAATATAGAACAAGGTTAAAACGTATAAAATATGAACGGAATGAAATAAGTACATAAATAATTTGTATTCCATTGGGAAAGATTAATTATAAACAAATTATTTAAATAACTTTGATAAACAATGAAATAATAGAATGAATTATCTATGGGATATGGAATAGAATAATAAGGATGATGTTCGTCATCATCATCCAAATCATCATCATCATCATCATCCAAATCATCATCATCATCATCATCATCATCATCATCATCATCATCATCATCATCATCATCATCATCATCATCATCATCATCATCATCATCATCATCATCATCATCATCATCATCATCATCATCATCATCCAAATCATCATCATCATCATCATCATCATCATCATCATCATCATCATCATCATCATCATCATCATCATCATCATCATCATCATCATCATCATCATCATCATCATCATCATCATCATCATCATCATCATCATCATCATCATCATCATCATCATCATCATCATCATCATCATCATCATCATCATCATCATCATCATCATCATCATCATCATCATCATCATCATCATCATCATCATCATCATCATCATCATCATCATCATCATCATCATCATCATCATCATCATCATCATCATCATCATCATCATCATCATCATCATCATCATCATCATCATCATCATCATCATCATCATCATCATCATCATCATCATCATCATCATCATCATCATCATCATCATCATCATCATCCAAATCATCATCATCATCATCATCATCATCATCATCATCATCATCATCATCATCATCATCATCATCATCATCATCATCATCATCATCATCATCATCATCACACTCCAGTTAATAGGGTATTCCACTTTGTATATAGTTTCATTCAACAGTAAGTGATTTCATTAATTGATATCAGATTCTAGTTTTGTCCAGATGGATAATCTTCAATGATATGTATTGTTTTAAACTTTAGTAATATGTTATCAAATGAGAATCAATCATTCGACTTTGAAAGGCGTTGAGTTTCGAAGATACAATAATAAATTTTGATAAGGTTAGTAACAAAACTCTTAAGAGGTTTATTAATAAGTGGTCATAATAAGACGGTAATCTAATCGAATATATCGAAATGCGAAACATATTGACTTAAATTCATATTGCTGATCTGTTAAATAGTGAACAGTATCAGAAGGGGTGTTGTGGAGATTGTAGTAATTTAAACAGTTGAGATCATGAGTCAATTGAAGCTAGAGGTAGTAACTCACTGATGACAGTGGTGGATGTGACGCTCAGTTTTGTGGATTAGTTGAAGCCAGACATTAACACCGTTGGATCCCGGCCGGCTCAGTGATCTAGCTGGTTAAGCGCCTGGCGCGAGACTGATAGGTCCTGTGTTGGAATCCCGCGAGGCGGACTCGCGAATGCGCACTACCGGAGAGTCCCGAAATAGGACGAAATGGTTGTCCAGCGCTTCCAGGTTTCCATGGTGGTCTAGCTTTAATTGACACATGATCTCAACTGTTTAAATAGTGAACAGTTTAATAAAAATACAATCTATTGAATATAGAATATACGATCTAAGTCTGTGATAATATTAATCTCTATCTTAACTAATAGAGTTAGAAATGTCGAATATTGAATCCTAAAATAAACTGGTTGAAGACAATACTATGGCTATCTATCTGTATAGTCATGAGTTTGATTGACCTTTGCTGTTATCAATGATGATGATGTTTGAATTGTTCATTAGTAGTAGAATAACGATCATACAGTGTTAATATGAGATAATCGTTTTATTTCAGAGGATTGGAACTGGCCCACAATGTAAAGTAACTTTGAACTGAAAATCTATTCATTAAATTCAATAGTATGATTGTTAGTTTACACGTACCTTAGAAATGAACTAATACAATCAATGTTTAGTACATAGTATTGATACTGATAGTTTTCATGGATTGATTTATCTGGTAATATGTGGATTATTGTGTTATGTGCCGCCAAATGCCCTGGTACGGTCGAGAGTAGAGTGAGTCAACTCTCCCTCTCCAAATGCTCTCACATGGCCACCCGTTTACAGCCACTGCCAGGGAAGTCCTACTCACTGCCTTCTCGCGTCAGGAGTGTTATTTACGAAATCGACAGGACGAAAAGCGAATATTGGGCGTTTTAACCGGGTTGTTTGATATGGAGGTTCCAATAAAAAGATTTGGGAAATTCCGATTCTAAACCAATGGAGTACATTTTGCTGCAGGATCCTAAGGGAATTATTGGTGACCGGTTCCTATGGGACTGTATCTCCTTATGTTGCTCCATTGCCTTTTGGATTAGACCTCTGAAGGCTTTATAATCCAGTCAATCACCAAAACACACAGAGAATTGGTGAATTTCAATCTTTAGAAGAACAGATATTATTACTGAATGATTATTCTTGAAGATTCGTTCAATTTGAAGGTGACATTCACCTCTGGTCTACTTTAGTTTGAGTACTATATAAAATGATAATGTACTGGATCGTTGTTTTATTTCAATATGGGAATCTTCAACAATCACCATCAATAATTGTGACATCAACTGAATTTTTAATTGATATATCACTGAATATCAACTCAGTCATCTTACGATTAAATGCTAACTGTAAGGACTGAATGTTCTGAATATGATCTTCGATAGAGTTATGAATGTTTACTACTGTGAAGTCTTATCCTAAGACAAAATAAATGTTCAGAATTCTTCGGTTTCCTGTGCTACCTTGAATGTGATCAATCTATGCAGAATACATCATTGTAATTGTTATTATTTATTATTTATTTTAACACATAAATATTGGTAAAACGAGGCACCAAATACATATGCGCCACACAAATTTCATTTGATATGTGTGAGAACCTCGATACTGCTCCGGTGCCCAAATCGAAGCAGATGGTTTTCTTAGGGGGTCACACACAGAGCCTTTGACCTAAAGGTCTAACCCACAAAGCACTGGAGCATCGTGAGGAGATACAGTCCCATGGTAGCCGGTGAACAACGATCAGTTCATAAGCCATTTTTTCTCGCAGGATACTGGAGCCCATGTGAACCATTTGATTGGAATGAGGGTTTTTCAACTCCACTAGGTGAACTTTCCATGTTCACCAACCTGTTTAAAGCACCGTACGTTTGCTTTTCGTCCTCTCAATTTCGTAAACAACAGTGATGCCATGAGAATGTAGTGAGTAGGACTTCCATGGCAGAGGCTATATACGCGTTGCTATGTGAGAGCATTTGGAGAGGGAGAGCGGACTCTCCCCACTCTCGGCCGTACTAGGGCGTTTTGGGGCCATTTTAATTATCTATACAAATAAATCATCGAAATTGAAATAAATAAATAAATAACAGTCTCATCATTTATCATTATCATTATGAGAAGAGGGTTTTTATGGAGACTGTAGTAATTTCATAGTTGAGTTCATAAGCCAATTAAAGCTAAACCATCATAGGAAACCTGAATGAACTGGACGGAATACAATGGTGGACGACGGTGCGATTTCATGTGTTGGTTGAAGTTAAACATTAACACCGTTGGATATTAGTTCAGTGGCTTAGAGTTTAAGCGCTCGTATGTGAAACCGTAAGTGTTGAATTCGAGTATCTTTCGTGTAGAATCATGGATGCTCACTACTGATGAGTCTTATACTAGTACGAATTGATCATCCAAATACTTCCAAGTTTTTCATGATTGTCTTGCTTACATTGTCTCATGAACTCAACTATTCACATTTATCATTATGTTGATACAATCAATCAAATTGGTTCCTACAAGTTGTCTTTATTGAATACACTTTGTTGTCATGATTGATTAATATTTTTTTTATTATTTATTTCTAACAGTAAAAATACCATACACACCATCTACCAGTATCATTGAAATGATTACAATTATCAATAGGGAACATTATTGGGATAGTTCTGTTCGTTCAGGGTTCTTTTGATCGTTAAGATAAGGGTCTTCATATTTTATAAGACATTCACCTTTAGCTTGTCTACTCTTTTTTTGACAGATTGAAATCATGAGTCAGTTGAAGCTAGATGACCATTGAAAACCTGGAAGCACTGGACGGCCATTTCGTCCTAGTATGGGACTCCTCAGCGGTGCGAATCCACGATCCCGCACCACGCGGGGCTTGAACCCAGGACCTACTGGCTTCGCGCGCGAGCACTTAACCATTAGACCACTGAGCCGGCGTCCAACGGTGTTAATGTTTAACTTCAACTAATCCACGAAGTCGCGCGAAGCCAGTAGGTCCTGGGTTCGAGCCCCGCGTGGTACGGGTTCGTGGATGCGCACTGCCGAGGAGTCCCATACTAGGACGAAACGGCTGTCCAGTGCTTCCAGGTTTTCCATGGTGGTCTAGCTTCAACTGACTCATGATTTCAATCTGTGAAAATTTCTAAAAATCTCCACAAACCCCTTCTGATACTCTTTTTATCTTTCTTTCTTTCTATTGTTCATAAATATGCAACAGACTAATCAAAATCGTTTAGTATGTATGGTGTATAACATTTAGAATATTTCATGATTTATGATCATAAGGGAAGTGAAGATACAATAAATTGAACTTACTTACTTACTTACTTAGGCCTGTTAACTCTTCATCTGCAATGGAGCATAGGCCGTCGATCAACATTCTCCAACCCACTCTGTTCTCCGCCTTTCTTTCTAGTTCTATCCAGTTGTTATTCATTTTCCTTTATGTCTATCTACATTTCCCGACGTAATGTGTTCTTTAGTCTTCCTCTTCTCCTTTGACGTCAAGGATTTCAGGTGAGGGTGTGACATATAATGTAATTCGGTGCTTTCCTCAATGTGTGTCTTATCTACTTTCAGAATTTCTTCCTAATTTCTTCCTTCACTGGTTCGTTCTGGTTTGTTCTGTTCGACAGTAGGTTGTTATTGCTTATAGTATCTGGCCAACAGACATTGATTATCTTGTGTAGACAAATATTTATAAAAACTTATATTTCAATGATAATGGTTTTAGATGAATGATATGATAATAGTGAATAAGAAATATAAGTGGAGATAATCAAATATACTTGAATACACTTCATAAAATCTGTGAATCATTATAGTAAATGGTTCATGGGCAAAAATGTCAATCAATCATCTTAGACTTGATGGATTCTTTGTTTACACACCAACCATTCTCTGTTCTTATTCTATTTTCTTCGATCTTGTTAACCTTTTTCCACAAGACATTTCATTTTCGATCCATGATACTTACTTATTTATGCCTGTTACCCATCCCCCTAATGGAGCATAGACCACCGACCAGCATTCGCCAACTCACTCTGTCCTCCGCTAACAACAGACAGTTGTTTTGATTTCCACATCTTGTTCAACGATAGGAATACTGTCCTTGTTTTGTCAATCCTAATTGAGCTTACTGTGTCAAATATATCTCACTGAATTGGTATGGACAATTGTTTATCAATATACTGTAAATCTTGGTTTCTAGTATGAACACGTTTTGTTGCTGTTGTTGTTATTGTTGTTGTTTATTTGAATAGTTGAATATGGTTGAAAAGGATACAGAAATATTTGGATAGTACAAAGTAGAAAAAGAAATAACAAACAAGAGTAGATGTATTTGTTGGCAATCTCGTGGTATTGAAAGAAAACTGAGATCCTGCCAGGTTACAAGCGTGGTTACTGAGCGTAACCGAATCCGTGCAAAGTCTTAATCAACGGAGAAAAAGAATGTATTTACTACAGTCAAACAAACAAGTACAGTAAAACAATCACTGGTACAATTGGTTATAATAATAATAATAATTGTTTCCATTAAACCAATCGCGTTCTTTTGATAAAAGTAGGTCAATACATGAGTACTACTGATATTACATAGTTACTTAAACTTAGATAGACAGAATGTATGATTCGAATTGTAGGCCTAGATAGTTGAAAGCCTAAAACTTCAGTCAGGTAATTCTTATTTATCCAAGTGGGATTACTTACTTACGCCTGTTACTCCTAATGGAGCATAGGTCACCGATCAGTATTCTCCAACCTTTTCTGTCCTGGGCTTTATTTTCTAGTTCCATCCAATCCTTTTTCATTTTTCTCATGTCTGTTTCCATTTCACGGCGCAATTTGTTCTTTGGTCTTTAGGATTCCATGTGAGGGCTTCTCTTGTGACGTAGTTTGGTGCTTTCCTCAATGTGTGTCCTATACACTCCCAGCGCTTCTTCCTGATTTCTTCCTCCGCTGGGATTTGGTTTGTCCTCTCCCACAGTAGATTGTTGTTGATAGTGTTTAGCCAACGAATCCAAAGTATTTTGCATAAAAGATCGAAAAAAATAGAACAAAAACAGAGAATGATTATTGGGAAAACGAAGAATCAATCAAGTCTAAGATGATTGATTGACATTTTTGCCCATGAACCATTTACTATAATGATTCACAGATTTTATGAAGTGTATTCAAGTACATTTGATTATCTCCACTTATATTTCTTATTCACTATTATCATATCATTCAAATATTTACACCTAAACTAAATATACATTTTCATTACTGTTTACATTCACAATTCGCTTATTTATTTACTCTACAGAATGTAAAGAACCCATTTTAGAAGAAGAAGAAGAAGAAGAAGAGGAAGAAGAAGATCAACAACACCAACTTCGCCTGGAGTCCCTCCGGGGGCTACTGCCGATCCCAAGCCCCACATAAAGGAGGAAGGTTGGGCATGGAGTTAGTGTCCCCATCCCGTAGAAAATTAACTCGCTAAAAAAAACAACACTAACCAGAAAAAAACTTGAAATGAAGCTGATTCATATCCATCAAAGAAGATAAATAAATTACATTCCATTTTATTGAATTTTTTTCTTAAAATATTCTGTCTAGACATTATGTCTATCAAATAATGCTCATTTTTCTTATATACCATAATAAGTAGTATATTTGAATCAGTAGTAACAGGTATATATATATGTAAACAATTGTATGTCATGACTATGGTTCACCTAAACTTCATATAAACATGAATAAACATACTGAATTATACAATGAATTCAGTATTGTTTACAGACAGATATAAATCTGTCTCGTTTTATATTCAATCAAGTAAGTTCCGTGTGAAAATTGAAATTGGATGGAAAAAATTTTGAAAAAAAAGAAAGAAAGAAAGAAAACTAGATTACTATGGAAAATCTGAAAGTATTAGATGGCTGTTTTCACCTATTGTGAGATTCCTCAGTGGCTGTTGCACATTCACGATTCCGCCTCGCGGGATTCCAACACAAGACCTATCAGTCTCATACGCGAGTACCTAACCACTAAACCACTGAGCCGGCCGGGATCCAACAGTGTTAATGTCTAACTTCAACTAATCCACGAAATCGAGCGACACATCTACCATTGTCATCAATGAGTTACTATCTCATAACTGACCCAGTTAAACTTCACTGATCACGGCTTCTCACTACAACTCCATGAAATTCATCTTGAAATTAGTCACTAGTGAGCATATATGCAGTGCGCACTTTTGAGGAATCCTATATTACAATGAAACGGTCATCCAATACCTCCAGGTTTTCGATGTTAGTCTAACATTGAAACATTTATGATGTCAATCTAAACCTATACTGATACTACTAATAAATTAACATAGGAAAATTCTACTGATTTGTTGAATCATTTATAATCTCTCAGATGGACAGTGTTACAATCAATAAAACTGAAGGATTATTAGTAACCGGGTCAGTTATGAGGTAGTAACTCACTGATGACAATGGTGGATGTGTCGCTCAATTTCGTGGATTGGTTGAAATTAGACATTGAGACCATTGAAATCCTGGAAGTAATGGAAGACCGTTTCGTCAAGAATTCAACTATTAAAACCATTACAATCTCTACAAACACCTATTCTGGTAAGAATCATCATCATATAGTCAGTGAGTGACTAGTTTCAAAATGGATTTCATGAAGTCCTAATGAGAAGTCGTGACCAATGGAGTCCAAATCGGTGTCAGGTGTGAGACAATCGATGAATGGTTGTGAGTTACTATCTCATAACAGACCCGATTGAACTCTACTGGTCACTGCTTCTCACTAGAACTCTAGGAAATACTTCTTGAAGCCAGTCACTGGTGAGCATATGTTGATTAATATCAGAATGGGTTTTTGTGGATAATATGGTAATTTCAATAGTTGGTATCATAAGATTACCATGGAAAATCTGGAAATACTGAATGGCTGTTTCATCGTAATATAGAACTTCTCAGTGACAGTGTGTATTCATGATCCCGCTTCATGAGATTCGAATTCAGGACCTATAGACCTTTAAACCGCTAAGCTGGTCGGCATTCAATGGTGTTAATGATGTCTAACTTCAACTAATCCACGAAATTATAGATTTTGAAAAGAAAAGAAAAAAAGGAAAAATTATCAATAATACATTCTAGTCTGTATATTATACAAATAGAATGGCGACGGAATACGTAAGCGCTAAACAAGTCACTTGATTTGTGTGCGTGGGCTATGATACTGCCCGGGTGCCGAAGCAAGGGGTTTTCTTAAGCTGCCACACTCGGAGCCTTTGAACTAAAAGTCTAATACACAAGGTAGTGGAGTGATATAATGAGATGCAGTCCTATGGTAACCAGTGACCAACGATTGGTTCATACGCCATTTGTTCCTTAAGGATCGTAGGGTCCATGTGCACCACTGATTTAGAATTAGGGTTTTTCAACCCTCCTAGGTATACAGTCTGTGTTCAGCAACCTGGTTAAAGTATCGGACATTTACTTTTCTTTCTTCCAAATTCCTCAACAACACCCCCGACATGAGAATGCAATGAGTAGGACTTCCCTGGAAGTGGTGGTATACGAGTGGTCATGTGAGAGCGTTTGGAGAAGAAGAGCTAACTCTCGCTACTCTCGGCCGTACCAGAGCACTCAGGGGCACATCACTCTGTGTAATTTTAACCCCATCAAGTTGCTTGTTCACTTCTTCGTCGGTGCGGATGGCTAACTGCAAATGTAAATATCACAAGCGGCATTACCAACTAACTCCAAAACTTCTGCAGCCAGGTATTCGAGAACTACAGCTAAATAAACTGGAGAACCAACGCCAACTCGCTCAGTGTAATTGCTTTGATGTAGGAGACGGTGAACATGACCAACATTTAAGTGAAGACCCGCACGCACTGACTTTATATTAGCCTTACTGTAAACCTTGCCACATTTACCGCGTCCACTCATTATTTTAAAAAGTAGAGGAACGTGTACAATAAATCAGTATTCATTTTGAAAGGGATTAAATTCTATTAAGTATCGCTTTTCATTAATATCCTAAGAATTCTTCACAAAGTCAGTTACCAGGGAGTATGCGTTTATCATTAAAACAATGCTTCAAGAGATATATCCTAGAGTTCTAGTGAGAAGTAGTGATCAGTGGAGTCCAACCAGGTCAGTTGTGAGATAGTTACTCACTGATGGCAATGGTGGATGTGTCGCTCAATTTCGTGGATAAGTTGAAGTTAGACATTAACATCCGTTGGATCCCAGCCAGCTCGGTGGTCTAGTTGGTTAAGCGCCTAGTGCGAGACTGATAGGTCCTAGACTCGACTCCCGCCAGGCGGGGTCATGGATGCGCACTACTGAGGAGTCCCACAATAGAACGAAACAACTGCCCAGTGCTTCCAGGTTTTCCATGGTGGTCTAGATTCAATTGACTCATGATCTGAACTGTTGAAACAGGGAATTATTTGTCATCAAGTAGATCTTCATTGGGAACCAGAAACCTCAAGATAGATGTTATATGTTGATTTAGTGATAGTCATTTAGCTGTCTTAAGTTGATAAAGTAGATTATTGGAATGTCTCGTTCTAAGTTGTTCTGCTAAATATGAAGAATTCATATTTAATTCTTGGTAACGTCAACAGTCCTATACTAGGATCAAGTAACAGAACGGTACTTCATTCATTTTAATATGTTCATATTGAAGTATTTTTGGGGCTCTAGTACGAAATTTTGATCAATATGAGGATAGTTCGAGATCCTGCGTGACATGGCTCAGAATCGATTACAATGACATCTGTGTATACACTTTTTGTCTTCTCTTAAACGATGAGATTAAAATTGTTTTATATCTAACTTTCTACGAACTAATTCGTTCTCCTTGTATTATATCCTTTTATGGAATCGTTCTACCATTGAATTAACTACTTCTATGAATTTGGTGTTCATCTTTTTCTACTAGCAAACCATAGCAACTCAGACTGATGCATATATGTGCCTGGTCCTATGTTGTAGATAACTGACTGACTGAGTAACTGAACCATTATTTACCTTCAATCATGGAAGTTCGCTAATAGTTTAGTTGCTACAACCATTTTTTTATTCAACATATATTCAATAGAGTACTAGGAATGTGAGTAGTAGTAGTAGTAGTAGTAGTAGTAGTAGTAGTAGTAGTAGTAGTAGTAGTAGTAGTGTGGTGTGTGCTAGTTATATCCACATAAGTAGTATATGATGTTAGTCGTGGAAGCAGAGAGACAAGAGGATCGAACAGTAAAGAATGGGAACGGAATGCAATTTTTGTGAAAATGCTAGAACAATGAAGTCTGAGTCATTATGAGACAACTGATGGACGTTTTGCAAATTACGTATTTACTATTTGATCGTTAGATTTTATTAATCAGTCCTGTAATTTTGTATCAAATACATTCGTTTGTCCCCACTGGCTTTCATGTTCACTACAGTACAATCGGTCTCAGGTAGAGACAAGTATCTACCTTAGTAGTAGTAGTAGTAGTAGTAGTAGTAGTAGTAGTAGTAGTAGTAGTAGTAGTAGTAGTAGTAGTAGTAGTAGTAGTAGTAGTAGTAGTAGTAGTAGTAGTAGTAGTAGTATTAGTATTAGTAGTAGTAGTAGTAGTAGTAGCAGTAGTAGAAGTAGTAGTAGTAGTATTAGTATTAGTAGTAGTAGTAGTAGTAGTAGTAGTGGTAGTAGTATTAGTAGTAGTAGTAGTAGTAGTAGTAGTAGTAGTAGTAGTAGTAGTAGTAGTAGTAGTAGTAGTAGTAGTAGTAGTAGTACTAGTAGTAGTAATAGTATAAAATGACTCTTACTTCCTTCCTTACGCCTGTTACTCCTAACGGAGCATAGGTCACCTACGAGCATTGTCCAACGTACTCTGTCCTGGGCCTTCTTTTCTAGTTCCATCCAATCTTTGTTCATTTTTCTCTTGTCTATCTCCATTTCCCGACGTAATATGTTGTTTGGTCTTCCTCTTTTTCTTTGACTTTGAGGATTGCATGTAAGGGCTTGTCTTGTGACGCAGTTGTGTGCTTTCCTCAAAGTGTGTCCTATCCACTCCCAGCGCTTCTTCTTAAATTCTTCCTTCGCTGAGATCTGGTTTATTCTCTCCAACAGTTGAATGTTACTGATAGTGTCTGCTCAACGGATCCGAAGTATTTTGCGTAGGCAACTGTTACTAAACACTTATATCTTCTGGATGATGGCTTTCATAGTTCTCCAAGTTTTCGCCCCATACTGTAGAACTATCTTGACATTTGTATTGAATGACGTTTATACAGTTTAATAATAAACCTATTCGGTATCCTCATGAAAAGAGTCCTATATAAAAACAAAAAGAACAATAAGATACTTATATGACTCATAATACAATCAATTTATTTAATGGACTATTTATTAAAATACTTGGCGACATTTTAAATACATAAATTACCATTTCCATGCATCATTGTAAAACCCAGATTTACGCACACACACACACACACCGCACACGCACACACACACCTAAATGCATTCAAGTACACTTTGAAATCTCTAAGTTAATAAATAATAAAAACCAACTGATAATCACATCATTCATTACTATAGTAAATGGATATTGTGTACTCATCAAATAAAGAAGGAATGAATGAATGAATGAATGAATGAATGGTACAGTAATAATATACACTTCCTTTCTAATAGGATACTTTTACTTTCTACAAAATGAAGTATTCAAGTAGTACATCAAACTCAATGAATGAGTTAGGAATAATTTGTAAAGAGAATAATCCGACGAGAAAGAGCACATATATCCATCTTTGTGTGTGGGGGGGGGAGGGGTAAGGGGGGGGCCAAGAAATAACTCATTCTAATTGCTATTTCATATGAATTGGCGCCATGATAGCTGACAGTTTTATATATAGATAGATATATATTAATGAAGGTATATTGTATTCTCATTTCTCCTATTCACTAACTTTCTCATATATAGAGATAGATAGATTTTATATTATCAAGGTACTTTATGACACATATCCTATATCCTTAAGAAGAAGAAGAAAATCAACCTCATAAATGAGAAGATAAACAAACAACTTTTGTGGTCATCATCATCGTCATCATCCGAATCATCGTCATCATCATCATCATCAGTTTATCTTTACTGTCTCCATTCAACTATATTCATGAAAGAAATGTGTTGAAAGGTTTTGTGTTATCCTTGATTGTTATTAATATTATTATTAAATATATAATAGAAACAAGTGTAAATGCGTGATCATTATGGATCTATTGTTCTTTATAACAGAATAAAACAAAAAAGGTAACTCAACATTACAGATGAACTAAGATAATTCATTTATGAATGAATAAAGAAGACAAGGATTATGGATAGAAAAGGGGAAGAAGAGAGAGAGAGAGGGAGGCAGGGAGGGAGAACGAGAGAGAGATGGAATGGATGTGTTTCTATGTCATTAACAAATGGAAGTAAAAAAAACTCTTCTTCATGAAATGAAATAATAGTAATGAATGAAGAAAAAGAGATTGTGTGAAGTTCATCTTGTTTATTAAGGTAATAAAGATAATAGTAATCTTCATATTAATAGTGAATATAATAATGTAATAAGAGGGGGTATTATCAAGGTAATAACAATAATTAGAAGAAAAAAAAGGGGTTCATATAAATTAGGAAAGATAAATCTGAAGATGAAGAAAGATATATAAACATGAAAGGAATTGAAAAGTAGGGGTAGGTATCAGGTTATTCAATCATAGGCTGGATATATTTCATCTGGATACATCAGTTTAATTTTCTAGAGTTGATCCAAATAGCTTCAATTGTGTAGAATAGTCGTAATCTAACTCCTTAAGATATAAAACAGAGAAAGCTTCCTCTATTTTAATATGATGTTCATGATCGACCAAGTGAGAATAGTACTGTTGATCGATTTAGTATCTCCTTTTCCTAACCATACTGGTATATGTTCAACAGAATGCAAGGACAAAACTCTTTGAGTACAGCCTATATAACTAACTTCACAGGAGCCGTTGAATAGGTATACACTATTGGAATGGTAACTTATCCTTGATTTGTTGCGTGAATACTCATTGAATTGAGAAAATTATATATAGCTTGACGGTGTGAAACATCTTTTCGACAGATCTTTTAAGTCAACGTGTTAAAATATCACCCGTTATGTTCCCTTTAAACTCCTATTTACGGATTGAATCAAACTTTCTACAAGGTATAGATTCGTACTGTTGATTAGTAGATTCAAACTGGGATAAAATAATTGTTAAATGGTTTCTGAGACCTTTAAAATAACTAAACTAAACTAAATTTAACTTAGATATAAATTTCAATTGAGTACACATTGTGATCAAGTTTGTAAACGTTTATACCAACTCAATTACACGTAATGGAGAAACTCTAGAGCATCATCGATCAACAAGAAGGATCAGTTGTAGACATAAACGCATGGATTAGCAAAGCAACAACAGTTGAACAACATATGAAACTTAAAACAACTGTCAATCAATATTAATCTTCAATACAAACATCAAAACAGTCCCATTATACAAACATGAAACTTGGATAATTACTACAACCAACATTATTGAGGTAGAAGTATTTATAAACAATAAGATATTAAATGTCTGTTGATCGGATAGTATCAGTAACAACCCTCTGCGAGCGAGACCACAAACTAGCTATCAGTTTAAGAGGAAATTTGACAAAAATGTTGAAGGTGGATAGGATATACATTGAGGAAATCATTAAACTGCATCATGAGACAATCTCTAACTTGGAATCCTAAAAGAAAACAGAAAAGTGGAACGCCAAAGAATATTCTGTGTCGGGAATTGGAAGCACACATAGATAGTACGAATGACAACTGGAAAGGATTGTCCAGGACAGAAGTCGATTTAGAATGCTGGTGGTTGGTCTATGCTCCACCAAGAGGGTTAACATGCATAACTTAGTAAATTGGTAGGTTGTACAATTGAATTTATTTTATAAGACATAAAACACGATAGTCAAAATATTCACATGCTTAGTCATGTTCTATATCTTAGTAAACAGTACCAGATAGTTAACAAACACAGTTTTTAGTCCTAAGTTTGTACAGATTTACGTTCTTTTCCTCGTCTAACTCAATCGGTATCTTCACAGGAATTCATTGAGATATGAAGTTGTAAGTGAATTGTCCAACTAAAGTACAGTACCTGAAATCAAACATTTGTAATTTATGACTCAGTAGCTTAGTAGATAAGTGGATAACATGATGGTAGGGAACGGTATTGTATTGGGTTCTAGTCTCAGAGTGAACATCAAATCTGGGATGAAGGTGCATCTAGTTGACGAGTCCCAAATAGGACGAAACGAGTGTCTTGGATTCCAACGTTAACCATCATCACCTCAGTTTATAATGCTTGTGACTTAAAACAATGTCGATGTAATCCTCACAAGATGCATATATACCAATCACAAGAAACTGATCAATCGCAGTATCAAACATCAATGGGAAGATTTAGATAAACAATAAAAAATGAATTTAAACTTCACGTCATTGCACAAACTAGTGGCTATCAGCACTTAGTAGCTAAGTAAATAACGTGATGGCATTTGAATTGAACGGTACTGTGTTCGAATCTTCTAAATGTGTCATCCAAATGCCCCGGGGAGAGTCACTTCGCCCACTTGATATACTCTCGCATAACCACGTCCATGCACCGATTGTCAGGAAAGTCCTACTCACTACCTTCTCTCATCTATGGTATCATTTACGGTATTGAGAGGACGAAAAGCAAATGTTCGGTGCTTAAACTGGTTTGGTGGATATGGAGGATCCATCTAGGGGAGTTGGAAAACCCTCATTCCAAGTCAAAAGTGCACATGGGCTTCAGGGTCCTAAGGGAAAAATGGTATATGAATCTAGTGTTGGTTACCAGCTACTACGGGACTGCATCTTTTGACGTTGCCCCACTGTCTTGTGCATCAGACCTTTAGGACCAAGGCTCTCGATGTGGCCCTCTAAAAAAAACACCTGCTTCGGCACCCGGGCAGTATCATAGCCCACACACAAATCAGATGATTTATGTGATACACATCAAGTTGGTCTCTCCTTGTATCAGTGTTTATGTGTTTAAATAAATAAATAAAAATACAAAGATGGATAGTGGCTAGCAGTAGAATCTAGAACCCAAGATTCATCCCGTTTTTGAGACTCATCAACTGGATGTACCAAAGTTAATTTTCACTCCGTAGCACATATTGCCGATAATAAGCCTTTAACATCAATAGAAAGCTTCAAACAAACAATATAAAATGAATTTAATCTCATTTACTATTTTTGAATCCAGCACCTGGCGCGAAACTGATAGATCCTGGGTTCGAATTCCGTGGGGTGCGGGATCTTGAATACGCACTGCTGAGGAGTCTCATACTAGGACGATACGGCCGTCCAGCGCTTCCAGGTTTTCCATGGTGATCTAGCTTCAATTGACTCATGATTTCAACAAGTGAAAATTCTTAAATAGTTTGATGAAGGATCATATTCACTGATGTATACATCATTAATTGTCAAATTATGTTGACATTTTCTATTGAATGAGATCAATGAAACCATCTGTTATAAGGTTTTCAAACTATTTGATTAAAATGTAATGTAGAATAGGTTTAAAAATAACAAAGAATACAAGAAGTATTCATATTATTGAATAGTTCTTCATTCATCTATACTTTGTGAATTTGACATGTGTCATACTTCTAATATCTGTGTAGGCTATGAGGACATATAAGGAGAGGAGTGGCGTTGTTGTTAAACAGAATAGGATCTAGGATTTAGAGTGAATGATTTAAACAAATAATTTTTTTTATATCAGAAAGGTTTTTGTGGATATTACAGTAATTTTAATGATTAGAATCATGAGTCAACTGAAACTAGATTACCAGATGAGATAGTCCTGTTTGGTGAAGACGCTGACAAAATGCAGAGTCTTCTGGCAGCACTAAGCAACAATGCCAGAATGTTTGGAATGCGCTTCTCCCCCCCTCTCGAAATGCAAGTCGTTGCTTCAGGACTGATCTGCGTCAACATTTGAACTAAGGATAGGGAGTGAAATAGTCGAACACGTTGACAACTTCACTTATCTTGGAAGTCTGATCAGCCCTAATAGGTTGGTGTTTGACGAAATTTCAGCACGGATTCGAAAAGCTCGTGCGGCTTTTACCAACTTACGTCACCTATGGCGAAGGCGAGATATCCGTCTATCAATAAAAGGACGAGTATACTGCGCGGCAGTCCGTTCTTTTCTATTTTACGGCAGCGGAACATGGCCATTAAGAGTAGAAGATATTCGTAAGCTATTAGTATGTGACCACAGATGTCTTAGAAATATTGCTGGGATCTGCTGGGATCACCTGGTAAGTGATGGTGAGGTTAGACGCAGGGTATTAAGGAATGATGGTAAATCAGTTGACGAGGTTGGGAATCTTCATCGACTGAGATGGTTGGGTCACGTGTTATGTATACCTGAACACCGATTACCACAACGTGCAATGCTAACCGGTGTTGAAGATGGTTGGAAAAAGTTAGGGGCGGCCAAACCAAAACGTGGTATCAGTGCTTGAAGTCACTAACTTCTAGTCTGAGTCATGTTGGTAGATGCAAACTTCTTGGTTGGGGTCTGTGTGATTATCGTAACCAATGGTTGGAGACTCTGTGTGGGATGGCTCAGAATCGGTCACAATGGCGTCGGTGTATACACTCTCTGTCTTACCTTAAACTATGAGATTAAAATCACTTCATATCTTTCTTTCTACGAACTAATTCTTTCTTCCTGTATTATATCCTTATACACAATCTTTCTTTTATATATTACCTCCACCATTGAATTAACTACTTTTATGAATCCGTTGTTCATCTTGTTGTGTTAATGAGGTATGGGAACTTGTACCGATGCATATATTTGCCTGGTTCTACG